TCATCAATAATAATGTATTAATAATAGGCTTATTGAAATCTGTATGCACGATATGTATTTCATGACAATGTCTACTCAGAGGTTATCTTTTAATCTGTTAAATCTTGTCAATGTGTAATATTCCCTTAATTTTGATATGATGACAATCTTTATGTACATTAACACAACTTAGTAATAATTGCGGAGAACTGATTTTAAAATGTATTCTTGATTGTATTTTATCACAGCAATGTATGTACAAACTTTTTACCTTAATATTTCTTTAATAATTGTAACCCATGTATTTGTCCAATTGTTTTAGCAGTGCAATTCAGTGCGAGTTTTCACCAAGCACTGCGAAACTGTAATCTTTGAGAAATAAAACCAATCACTTACTTACTAATCCCTCAGAACCTCCCAACATCTAGCACTAAGTTGTATTTCCAAGTTAATCAGATAAAAATGATTCAGATTGATACATTTAAAGAATTAACCCAACTAGATTATTTGGACCTGAGATTAAACAAAATAGCAACGGGTCACATCCATTATGATGCATTTAAAAATCTACCATTGCTCGCAATGTTGACCATTCAAAACAACAAGATGTCTGTCATTCTCCCTTCATATACTTTGGCGGGTTGACAACTATTCGTTACTTAAAACTTGGCAATAATCCCTGGCGGTGTGACTGTAGAACGGTTCCCTTCAGACTGAACATCACTAAATTTCCCTTCATCAAAGACCAGATAGTTTGTGCCCATCCCACCGAATTCAAGGGGCAGAAACTTGAAAATGTCAATCCCGATGAAATGATATGCAAAGAGACAACCGTATCACTGCGAACCGTTTATACCTCTACCTTTCCTACAGTGTCGACATATTCAGTTAAAAACACAGAAAACAATGCCAGATCAACGACGGGTTCTGTGGGCTCCACATCTGCCACACGGCCCCATAGTAGCCAATTGGAAATGTCAACATCTTCAGTTGGCAACACAGAAAGCAATACTAGCCCTTCAGCATATCCTTCAGGTGCAACTTTTTCATCACATCCACTTGGTAGCCTATTAGAAAGCAGTAATAAGTGTTATAATGCCGTGGTCACCTCTCGCTATCACTGGTTCTTTATACGCGATTCTGGCTCAACAGCACAATCTGCAGGCAACGAAAGCAAAACAACGGCGACGCAATCACTTCAAACAAACCCAAAACCACTCCCATCTTCCCCCTTCTTGTCTTCATAACCTCAAGCTGCTCAATAGTTGGCATTGCCTTGATGGGCACCATTATCCTGGTGCTGTGGTACAAGAAAAGAGCAAGGCTTTAGGGCTGAATCCTACTGTCGTAGTTAGCAATACATACACAACAGTTTCTGTGATGAACAATGTTGATGATCAGTCAGGGCAGGGTAAGTGTCAGGCCATCCTTGAATCCTTGGATGCTAGAAATCTGTCTTATGGCACAGGACCGACTGCTTTGCAGGCAAACTCCCTGCACAAAACAGCTACTGTAATGACCTGTGGTAATGTTCAGAAGGGCAGGGCCAGTCTAATCATGAGGCCACTACTGAATCCTAGCATTTAAACGCTAGCAATCTTTCTTATGGCACAGGGCCGACAGGCTCCCAGCTGAATTCTCTTTACGTAAATTCAGAAACACCATAATTCAATGTACATTGCCACACCCAGTAAAATACCATGGAGATCACTCAGCACCGACAGAAAGACCTTAAAGTTTCATGTTAAAAGGGTTGTATCCTTGGACGCTTTCTTTTCTGAGAAGTCCCCAATGTAAGAACCAAAAATGAAAGCATTGATTCGACGATTTGCATTTTCTATCTCCTTATAATCACAAATACGATCATTATGCTAGAGTGATTGGCTAAATTTGATAATAATTTTTTGCTGCTTTTGGACGTTATTAAGAAAGGTTCATCGTAACGTCAACATAAAAGCAAAGGACTGGAAGCAAACGTTGAGTCTACGCATGTTCAGCCCATAAAGATGTGTTTTATTGTGTAGAAATAAATAATAGCAGGTAAAATGGAAAGATTTGGAGGAAAAGTGGTAGAGGTTAAAATATTCAAGATGGGTGTCATAGGGTTTTGTGTACTGTAGTATTCTACAACATCGATGTATAATTCGTCGGTAGTTGGGTTGGGAGATACATGTAAATATTTTTTTCATTCATTTGTAAACACGAAACAATTCAGTTATCCATGTACTTCTGCCATGTCTATTTTATAGTAGAAAATTGAATCATAATGTAATTGTTTTGGGTGACTGGATGCTCAGAACTGTTGTGGTGTGCTAGGAAAACACAAGTCGAGCTTTGTAAAATATGAAGTAACTATAACGGCCGACGTTTGCTTTGGAGAAAATACAGCAGGGCTTTACCACAGTTTACGACATGGGAGGGAAAGAAGGAGAAACAGAAGGGCTACAATGCAAATTTTCGGTTCACTCCATCAACCTTGTTCACAGAATGGACCCGTCTACTCTTGGAACGTGACGTCAGAGACACGTGACCGTAGTAGCGGGTGATACGTGCCAGATAACTTGTGTCGCCCCCCGTCTCTGTTCAGGGTAGGTCTGTGAGCTCTTATGTAGACTGCAAAATTTCTTTTTTTTAAGTCAGGCGAAAAATAATGCGCGCGCTGAAGTCATACATCCACTTGCTGTGGCCTAAGCCTGTAAGGGCATAAATGTGCATCAATGGTCATTCATTCATTCATCCATTCATTCATTCATTCATGAATAAATATAGCAGAACTTGTTGTGCTCTCTTTGGTAAAACTCCACTTCCAGCTCCCCTCGTGAATATTGATTTACACGAAACGAGAAGGAACCTCATGGCCATAGTTTTCATTTAAAACAATACTTGCACTTGGACTGATCCCCTTTTCATAGTAAATGACTGTTTAAGGTTTCCAATGCAGTTTTTTTCGGCTCGGAAACCTAAAAAAGTCAATATTCTAGTCACTAATCTACACACTGAGTTGAAAACACAGTACCTCCAATATCTATTGACCCCCAGGGAGCAAAAACTCCGAACATTCTGAAGGATAAAGGTAACTGAAATGGCCCTTAGCTGATTTCAGGGTACCACCCATGAAATAAAGGACTCATCTTGGGGTTTGTTTCTGCAATTTTAAATACCCAAAGTTTAAAATACTGATTGAAATGTATGTGTCAATATCAAAACGATGGCCTTATTCAGAATATTTCCAGTTTTGCTTTGGATGTCTTTAAGATGTCTCATAATGCACAAAAATGTGCAAATTAAAATGGGTGTCATGTTAAAGGTCGGCTGTAGAACTATGCAGTTTTATGATATATTGCATACAACACCTAGCCCCAGTGCAGAGATAAAGACACCAGTTTTTGAAACGTTGGCTCATATAAAACAAATTTTTGTGAATAAAAGAACTTTACTACTGAATTATTTTCCAACCTGAAATATTTTTAACGGAAATTGATCTTATAAGTTTTTGAGGAAAGGTTTGTTATTGTTGCGTTTGAAATACCATATTTGCAAGCAAATATGCCGCACAGGTATGTGTGGTGGGTAACTCATATCCGTGTAAACAAGAATCACGATCTTCAAGGTCATCCACGATGACGGCAGTAGTATCGTTGCCTTGTACATATCTACTACAAATGACGGCATAGATATAAAGATGAACTGTCGAGTCATCAGTTTACATTTGTGAAAAGGTGGATTTTTGTTTGTTAGGAGGTTAACCCGTCTAAAAAGGGCTTGAAGTATGGGTTGAAGCGGGTTTAGTGTAAATGACCGTAACCGAACGGACGTTCTGTTCAAATTGACCACCGCGGATTTTCAAAAAGCCATCTTCGTACAGCAAACTCCACTTTTCATGTAAGACAATCTGTCACACGACATTGCGGATCGGCTAACGAAGGAGGCTGACACACCATATAAGAACCACGGCAACCTTATCCCGAGTCCATGTCAAGAAAGTGTCAACTAAAGCTATTCCAACAAACCAACCAACCAACCAACTAACCATCCAACCAACCAACCAACTAACCAACCAACCAACCAACCAACCAACCAACCAACTAACCAACCAACCAACCAACAAACCAACAAACCAACCAACCAACCAACCAACCAACCAACCAATAACAAAAGGTTTGTCTCGAGTCGATTAAGGTAAGATCTCTTGTAGCCATTTCGTCACTGACCTACGTCCATAAGCTAGGCTGGCAATCAGATTTAAGTTCTCAATGCAGATGTGAAGATGAGAGTTTTGCCGTTTGGGGGTTGGCGGCAAAGGTAGATCAGTTTCAGTGAGGTATGGGCATCAGAAATCAAATCAAAATGGTAATGAAATAGTAAAAATAGAAGCTACACACCACATTTACGAACAACATTTTCCACCCCAAAATCGATTCTGATTCGTGAAGAAAGAAGCCTTTTAGCCTGGAGACCATCGTCTAAATGGCACTATTGAATAGATGGACTCAGGCATTTTGTTTAAGTGTGTTCGGTCGTTCCTTTTCAATCATCTCGAGGTCTTGGTCAAAGGAGTATCCAAACATTTCGAAATCCGGTTTGTAAATTTCTCCGATCCGAAATATGTCCTCCGTCGGGACCTCCTGGAAAGTGTTACCGAAGTTTGCTTTAGCCCGTGAGGGGTGTTGTCTCGGGAGGATGCCGTCCTTCCCTACAATACCGCTCCTGTGGAAGAACAGACGAAGGTCTTCTACCAGCGTGTCCGTATGAGCGATGAAATCGTATTGAACCTGCAAAAAAATAGTAGAAAGGAACAGTCAGGTATTGTGAACACATTGCACTGCAACGAGAAAGATAGTTGGTCATGGGTGCATCATAATGTTCGGAAACCGGCTCTCTTCATATTATACCAGGGACACCCAATTAGAGAGAGAGAGTGAGTATACACACAGTGTGTGTCTGTCTGTGTGCGTGTGTGTCTCTGTGTGTAGTGTTAATGTGATCAATGAGGTAATATGGTGTGATATTAGAGGTGAGGGGTTGGGTCAACTGGAGAGAGACTATTTTTATGTGTGTGTGTGTGTGTGTGTGTGTGTGTGTGTGTGTGTGTGTGTGTGTGTGTGTGTGTGTGTATGTGTGTGTGTGTTTGTGCGTATGTGTGTGTTTGTGTGTGTGTTTGTGTAGTGTAAGTGTGATCAAGGAGGTAATATGGTGTGATAAAGGATTAGGGGTGAGGGGTTGGGTCAACTGGAGAGAGACTATTTGTGTGTGTGTTTAAAGTTAAAACTTTTGATCCAACACAAAAATTCTCTCACCTAGAGCTTTATTTGTGTGTGTGTGTGTGTGTGTGTGTGTGTGTGTGTGTGTGTGTGTTCTCGTGTTAGGCGAGAGTTAATTTGCAGATAAAATCCTAGCTTAGGGTTCAAAAATGGTTAATGTAGTTTCTTTCCGACTAATATTGACGATTACAATCACAACTAGAGTTCCCCGATCTCATACCTTCGCCAAACGATGTTAATCTTTATGACTGACAAATTATAGATTAGATTATCCCCCCCTGATTTAACAAATAGGAACATAATTTTCATGAATTATATCATTTTATTATAATCTCAACCAAAAGACAGTCTTATATTAATAAACAATGCATTCTATCATTTCCTAATAAATTATGCAAATGAGGTCCTGATTTTAATAAATTATTTAAGGTGATGTTAACTTTTAAGTACCACAAGTATGAAATTCCAGGCAGTTATCATTATTATTTACAGTTATCATAATTATTAATTATGCATAATTATAAAATCATTAATTATGCAAATTAAGTCATTATTAACATAATCAATATCTGCCTGTGTTTCTGTCGTTTTCAATTACCAATGTCACACGCTTTAATTGTCCTATCATGGAATGCAGCTGATTTATAGAATTTCCCCATAAATTATGCAAATTACATACATATTTGCATAATTGGCGAAGGTAATTAAATAGAATAATCTGAAAAGTCGTGTAGTATGATGGGATATACCAGAGGATATATATACCTGGCAGGGAGCACATAGACTAAAGAACGGTTCCCAGTGCACATCTCTGTATTTATTGTTAATGATACTCCAGATAAAATCCCTGAAGGAAATAGGTGGTAAGTCGCCCCTCAAAGACTGAAAGATAATATCGACAATATGTTAATTGCCATGTGAAATTATTACATACCTAGCATGTTTATAACCAATACGAACATACTGTTTATTGTACTCAATACTGTACGCATGCTGTCTTCTAAATTCTAATAATAATAAAAAAAATATTAAAAAGGATTACATTCCCAGTCTACAATTATTTAATACATAGTTTAATTATTACTCTCCTAGAAAAATCGTGTACATCTGTTAAAATACTATTTTAGCACTATCTTCTCAATGTTAGAATATTATATTGATACCATTTAGAATATTATACTGTATTTATTATTCCTCTTCAAACTTATGATACCGTATTATACTTAATTTAAAAACATTTCTTTTCGGTTTTAGAGAATGATAAATATAATATCATATTTTACGGTTTAGAATATTACTTTACGGTCTCTTCATTTTAATGTAAAGACATATTTCAAAGGGGAGAGTTGAATTCAGTGCAATCGGGAATTTTCCGAGGAGAGCTTGTAATCTAAGTTCTCCTAGGACAATCCAAGATTTCTCTTGCTGATTGTAATTCTACTAGTAATCATTATGTTTTATTTCTATGTATAACAAGTGAGTAGTATATAGTATTTTCTTGACATTTACATTGTGTACGTATATATAATATCATAACATCTCTTTCGCGTTTAAAACAGACTAAGGCTATTGCCTTTAGTGAGTAGTATGCAACACATTTAGTGTTAGAGAAAAATCATAAAAACTAAATTGCTTGAAAACACAACAGACTAACGTTTCTGTTACTAACGTGAGTAGTATGCGGCACATCCTAGTGTTGGAAGGAAATCATAGAAAATTGTTGTACTGTTCTGGATTTTGAAGCTTAGCTATAGATTTCAAATTTCTGGATGATCCCAAATTCTTAGTAGAATTCCAATCTACCCTCGGGGAGATAGAAATCCCAATCTGTCCTAGGAGAATCTGGAATTGCCATTTGGAGATTAGTATTCCAATATCCCCTTTAGGACAGATTAGAATTTCAATCTCCCTAGGATGATTGCAAATTGCCCTGGATTGTTATCTTTTTTTTAATTCCAACATGTAATCACCAGATATGGTGACGACACACTCAAGTTTTTTTTCAACTTATATTAATGCCGCCACCAACACAGGGGACAGATACATGACAGGACAATACTCATTTACACCTGAGCTGGGTGAGGAAAGTCGTGTAAAGTGCCTCTCCCAAGGCCACAAGATCGGTGGCATGTCAGGACTCGAACCCGGGATCGCGCACTCTGCCACTACGCCACACGTTATCTCCTATGTAACATGTATGAACGGTCTTTCTTACTTATGAATTTTTAAATTTTTAGATATTTGTTCTGTTTTCTTTTTTTTAATTTACAAGATCCACACCTTATTCGTTGTTGTGTTTTCCACCTTGGACTTCCACACCTCCTGCTGTAAGGTCCTTATGTATGAGAAGCGGAGTTTACTGTGGACAAATTTCTCAAGCCAGGCAGAAGCTAGCCTGAAACGTCACCAAAAATCCATGGTGATAACATTCACTATCTTGGATGTTTACAAAATGAAATTAGCTAGAATTTTTATAATAATAATAGCCAGAATGATCATTATCATGATAGTGGGCATTAACGAAAACGAAACCAAAAAAAAACCAAAAAAAAACCAGAAAAGTATCTGCATCTTTCTTTCTCGCTGGCACCCATTCGTATGCCAATTTTTTTTTGCTTAAATGATTGAATATATCACGCAATATGTTATTAGTGTGAAAATCATTCTCAAGTTAAGATGAAAAACTACAAAAGTGATTGTTCAAACCAAGTTAATTGAATTTTTCACACACAAAAAAAAACGACTTGTCAGAAACCCGTTCCAATGGCATCACGAATAAAAAACTAGCTCCACTCACTAATATCAGTGCTGTCAGAAATATTCCTGGAGAAGTTACCTAGTTAATTTTTTTTAAACGCAAGCTTTTCAGGCGTTATGAGACATGAAAGTTGCCGCTGCTCGAAAAGCCTCCAAGTATATAAGGATTAAGTCAAAACAAAAAAAAACCCGCCGTGCACTTTCAGTAATAGATAGACTTTTTTTCATATTTAGGCCACAGCAAGTAAATTTTATGGATGGCATCCTTAACAGACTCCAAATCTAATGCGAGCAGGCGAAAATAACAGGGCGGGCCGAAAAAAAGGTTCCTACATTTTAAACGTTTGACTCAATCATTCTACAAATGGTTCTGATTCGTACACACAGCCAACATCACTTATCACTGCATCAAAGTAAGAAACAAAACATTAAATCAGAGCCTTTTCTTGCCTCCTCTCTTCATTATAGTTAGATCTGCTATCCACCATCCGGCATTGCAACATACATCTTTGCCCATTTTCGGCATGATGACCACTTTTAGAAGGCAACATTTTTTTTTTTAATTTTCCAAAATCAGGCAAAAATTAATTATAACGCGTGCGCTGATGTCATCCATACAAATTACTTGACGTGGCCTTAGTTTTGCACTAGTTAAGTATTTCTTGTCTACAAGCAGTTGAATATAATGATGCATCATAAAAATAGGAAAACAATACCTTAGTTATGCACATACAAACACACATACACAAACACATACGCAAGAAAAATGTTATTAGAAGAAGAGATACCTCTCCAAGGGGTCCCGGACGACAATGAGTTTGTTGTATGTCTTTAAACGCATGGCCGCATCTTCCATACTGTAGCTGTTGAGTAGCTTAAAGGGGTACCGGTGAATCTGTATCCTTTTGTTATCTGCAATGCTCACATTTGTGTCGTGTTGGAGATTGTACATCACTAGTTTTGTTGTAGTGCATCCAGTTTTAGGGATGTAACAGTAAATAGTTTTAGTCTTGTCAATAACGATTAAATGATGTCGGTACTTTTGCGAATGGAACCCCTGAAAATAGAAAGAATGGCATAATGGTGTGTGGATTATAATAATTGAAGATACGTTTTAATCACATCCAACAGGAAGATACCTCGTAATGTGCTACTTTACTATATTTGTATTCGATTATTAATATTTCCTAAGGCCACACCAGGTACATTTTATGGATGACGTCCTTTGGAGACTCTAAATCTAATGCGAGGGGGCGAAAAAAAAACAAGAAGTGCCCTAAAAACAAGATGCCTAGATTAGAATATACTAAGAGACGGCAAATGTTAGGACTTAAATTGAATGATCATGAGGTGAAACAGTGTAACAAGCAAGAAGTCTTTTATTCATCATCAAAAAGCAATAAATCAGGTGGAACAGAAGTTGTCGTCCTGTCCTGTTTTTGCGTTGCGGGTTTCACGTTAATCTGACGATTTGCGGCACTGTCGTGACTCTTTGGTCATAGTTACAGGAAGCGGAATTTCTTGTTTTTTTTCTAGGAACAGGCCAAAATCAATGCGCGCGCGAACGTCATCCATAAAATTTACTTGGTGTGGCCTTAGCTGCCTATATGCCAATAATCGTAAAAATTCATTTTTTTTGGGGGGGGGGTCACAAAACTGTCCAAACCTACATCACATGACAGCCGAAAAGCTATTTGTCACAAAAAACATGACTACGGATTGTATGTGAAATGTATTTAGATCCCATGCAGTACAACGGAAATCCACCAGGGGGCGTCTCGGAGAGTTTTCCCCTCGGAAACGGCCGTTGTCATTTGAAATGGTTGATGCCATATGTTTGATTGGTCAAGCGTATCTTACTTTTTGAGGGTAAAAAAACCTTCAAAATGAAAAGCAATGTTTTGATTGCACATGAACGACAGCATCTTTGAAAAGTGTCGTGTGGCGTAACGGCAGTTTATTCGGCTAAGAACCAATGTGTCCCGGGTTCGAATCCTGCCACGTTACCAACTCTGTGCACATGGGAAAACACGACTTTCCTCACATCATCTCACTCAGTTGAAAATGAGTTAGCCAGAATAATCATTATCATAAAAGTTCGCGTTAATGAAAACGAAAACCAAAAAAAAGAGAAAATTATCCACATCTTCATTTTTCGCTTGCACCCACTCGTATGCAACATTTTTTGCTTAAATGTTTGAATATGTAACAAATTTATCTAGCATATCCCCGAAACAAACATTCTTAGTGAAGGAAACTAACCGATTGTGGTTTCTTTCTGCAGTACTCATTAAAGACGGTAATTCTCTTCTCTTGTTCATCAATAGCCGGAAGGCTGGTACCTGTGGAGAAGTTACAGTCAACATTGAAACTTTAATAAAACCCCAGTACAACATCCCCATGCGTCTTTGTCATGGCAGACTGTCAAAGAAAGGATTTTTGTAAACGCTGTCTCTTTAACCTCGGTCACAACCCGCCGTACGTGCTTCTGCGTGTTGTCTATGTGCAATCGATGCATATAGAACGAACCATCTCGGGGATCAAGCGAAAAGACCACATAACTATCCACGCGGACTAACACCAGGAGGT